CCGGCAAGCGCGACATCGCCGCCCTGAAGGGCTGGCGCCAGGACGTGTTCGGCGGGGACGCCGTGGACCTGATCGAAGGCCGCCTCGCCCTGGCTCTCGCGGGCGACCAGCCGAAGCTCATCAAGCTGCCGTCGGAGTCCTGACCTAAGCCGAAACGATCATCGGCTTGAGGTCGAAGGCCTGCGCCGCGGTCTCGAGGCGCCGGGCCGTGACGTCGCCAAGGCTTCTCTTGAGCGCCGTCGGAACCAGCAGCCGCAACTCGCGGTCGGTGCGGCGAAGCTGGAGCTGGGGCAACAGGCCGGGCGCGCCGCCGCTCAGATTGTAGGCGAGCCGCAGGCAGGCGCCGAGACGCTTGGCATAGCTGCGCGCCCTGCTGTCGGTCAGGCGCAACGCGGCGTCGATCATCGCCGCCTTGAGGTCGCTCTTGTAGCGATAGGTCAGCGCCATCGCGAGGATCGCCCGCTCGCGGTGGCTCATCCCCGGCGCCGGCAGATGCAGCACCCGGAAATAGGCCTGGTCGGCGCGATAGTCGGGATGGTCGTCCCACGAGATGTCGCTCAGGTGACAGGCCGCGATACGCAGAACACGATCGCCAGCGCTTTCGTCGCCGAAGGCCGGCGTCAGCCAGTCGAAGATTTCCTGCGGCGACAGGTCGAAGCGACGCCAGCCGACGCCCTGCTCCTCGGCGAAGGCGATCAGCGGATGGGACATCCGTTCCGCCTCGCTGAGACGCGAATAGTAGAAGCCCTCGCGCAGACCGAATGCAGAGAAGACGACGCTCCTGGGCTTCAGCGCGACCAGCAGCTTGTCGAGCGCCAGGCAGGCGAGCGGCAGCGTGTCGACGCGCCGCCGCGACACGCCCGGCATCTTCTCCAGCGACTTCGCGCTCTGCACGGCGATCAGCCGCGCCACCGCCCGCGCCTCGTCGGCCGAGATTTCGTACTGGTGGATGATGTGCAGCGGATAGCCCGCCTGCTCCATGTGCAGCCGCGCGAAGGATCGCCAGGCGCCGCCTACGGCGTAGAAGACCTTGCCCTGCTCCTCGCGCAGCCAGCGCACGCTGTCGATCGAATCGGCGACGATCTTGCGCGGATCGCCCTTGCCGGAAGACATGAGGCGCAGCGGACCCACGGGAAGCGTGCTGGACGCGCCGAGCTGACCGTTGGACATCGAGACGAGTTCGAGGCTGCCGCCGCCGAGGTCGCCCATGACGCCGTCGGCGTCGGGAATGCCGCAGATCACGCCGTAGCCAGAATAGC